TGAACTGCACCACATCTATAATAGGGAAGCTACAAGACATTAGGAATTGTCTATTTTCTTCATACTCTCGTTCGTGCGATAGAGTTTAACTCTATAAAGATTTCTTCTAATTCGTGCTTATGTGTACTTTTTTTTCCAGATCATGCCTCCACGAAGAAATGTCATAGGGTGTCTTTCTATGAGAAATGTGAATCCTTAGGAACGACCAGTCCAAGCTGGACCAAAGGGTCTAATGCACTTGTTGTCCAACCTCCTCAGTATGATGTCACTCTTGCGGAGTTCTAGAATGTCATCCAAATGTTAGCACAAGTTGTGATAACACAAGTTGGTCACCATGGATCAAATGATTGATACTTCCAGAGTTCGGGAATTTTTTAGAACGAATCCCCCAGAGTTCACTGAATCAAAGCTCAATGAGGATCTATAAAACACTGTGGAGGAACTTTAGAAAGTGCTTGAGGTTATTCTTATTGTTGATGTAAAGCGTGTGGAATTGGCTACGTATGAGCTCAAGGGCGTTTCCAAGATATGGTACGATCAATGGAATAAGACTAGGGAAGAAGGTGCACCACTCGTGGGTTGGACTATGTTTGAGAATTCCTTCTTGGGACTTTTCTTTCCTAGTTAAGAGATGCAAAGGTAAGAGAGTTTCTCAATTTGAAACAGGAATCGATTAGTGTGAAAGAATACAACCTCAAGTTCACCTAGTTATTATATCCCTATACTTAAGATATGGTGGAAGATATGAGAATTCGAATGGGTTTGTTTGTGTAAGGGACTCTCCCACTATTCAAATAAGAAGGGTAAGGAAACTTTGTTGGTAGGGGAAATGCATATCTAGTCTTATGATTCATGTGCAACAAGTGGAGGAGGATAAGTTGAAGGATAGGGAGGAGTCTCAGAATAAGAGGGCCAAGACAACATATCCTGAGTCCGGCTAGCAGAAGTTGGGAATGGGAATTGGTCATCCTTCCAGCAAAGGTCATCTGGACCTATTCCATTGTCATATGGTGCGCCTTTACCAAGGAACAAGAATGATCACATGTACCAGAACTCCCAAAATTTTAGAGCTCAGGGTTCTCAATCACAGGGTAGTGTGGCACAAGGGTTCACTCGTAACCCAGTCTATGGTAAGCTTCATTTAGGGGAATGTTGTGTTGGTACTGCTGATTGTTACACATGTGGACGGGCATGTCACTTTTCCAGGGAATGCCTGATGTGGAACTAGGGTAACGGGGGCAGTAGGGCCCAAGCTTCTTCGGCACCCCACTGGGTAGGACTACACTACAGGGTGCAAAATCAGGAGCAGACGGAGGTTCCAATAATCAATATGATATGTCCAATCATCAGGATCAGGAGAACTTATCTGATGTTATTAATGGCATGCTTAAAGTCCTTTTCTATGTATATGCCTTACTTGATCTAGGTGCGAGTTTATCTTTTTAACTTCATATATAGCCATGGAGTTTGAGACTTATTCCGAACAACTTCTTGAACCTTTCAGTGTTTCTACACCTATCAGGGAGTCTATTCTAGCAGAAAGAGTCTATCGAAATTGTACCATCTTTATTTGTCATAAAGACATTATGGCTGATTTAGTTGAATTAAACATGGTGGATTTGATGTCATTCTAGGCATGGAGTGACTTTATGCTTGTTATGCCTCATTCTATTGTAGGACTCGAGTAGTCAAGTTTAAATTTCCTAATAAGTCAATCATAGAATGGAAAAGTAATCCAGTAGTGGCTAAGAATCGTTTCATCTCATACCTAAAGGCTAGAAAGTTAGTCTCCAATGGGTGCATCTATCACTTAGTTCAAGTTAATGACTCTAGTATTGATATACCCATTTTCAGTCAGTTCCAATCGTAAATAAGTTTCCAAAAGTCTTTTCCTATGATCTTCCCGATGTCCCTCCCAAATTTTTAAGTGAAAGTTAACCAAACTTATGAGATATGCTAATTAATTAATAAGGAATATATTGATAAAAAATTATATATGGAAAAGATATTTTAGTTTTGAAAAATTAATTTTGTGTTTTTGCTTGTTGTTTTTTGAAAAAGTAGAAATTTTAGATTCTTCCCGATGGTAGAAGAATTGTTTCTTCATCTATTTAAAAACAGTTTTACTTATGACCTTAAATATACCACGTGTTGTTCATCTTGTATTCCAAAGATGCTTAGAACAATAACTTTGAAGAACTTGGTAAGAAACAAGAAAGTTTAAAGAGTATTTTCAAAACTAGAAACTTAAAACTAGTAGAATCTGAAACATATTAGAAATAATATACAAAACATTTTTCTCAAAGAAGAAAATCAAGCCCACTTAATGCACATTGTGTCCTTAAGGAAATTATTCCCCTCAAGTATCCGAGGTTAATGGAATATATCCTCCCAGGTTAGAACGATCTTACTCATCAGTGTATTGATACATAAAACCACGGTGTCAGCGAACCACTCAATGACAGTAAAGTACATTTAGATTACTATATTTAGAAATAGTAGAAGAAGTACAGAAATTTATTGTTGTAAAATGAGAGGAAATTCCTCTATTTATAGATAACAAAGGTTAATGTGAACATATGCTTATTGTGCCTTATCGAAGATGTCAAGTCACAACTTTTTATAAAAGTCACAATTCTTCATAAAAGTCACAACTTTTCATTAAAGTCACAATTCTTTATAAAAGTCACAACTCTTCATAAAAGTCACAACTCTTCATTTTTCATTCAGACCTTTTAAAATCCAGCAATCCCCCACATGAATGGGGAATGCCTCTACCACAAATAAATGGACAAGTATGTATACTTTACAAGCAAGAATTAATTGCATCTGGATAAGTAGGTTTTCCTTTAAGCTTTTTGTAGTGAACATATGCCGGATATACTCAATTAATAGATAGATTTGATATATTTGAACCATCAAGCTTTCACGTATACCTAGACAACCACATCTTACACAATCAATCATTTATTATCTATGGTTCTCACAGTTTTATTCATTTTAGTCATGAACACCTCCTAGTTTTGTGAGTGTATAGAGAAATGAGTTTTTACAATCATCCTCTTTGAAGAGGATTACACTTCACACTCACATAGGTGATTCCTAACCATGTCATTGTGTAGATACACTATTTGTTCAAATCTGACAAACTTAGAAACATAAAAAAAAAACTTTAAGATTTATCAACTCATTAAAACACCTTAATGATTTATCATTTTTCCTTAACATTGTCTTCATCACGAGAATGAATTAAGTTGTTTGATAATGTCAAACCGTCAGTTACAACTTTATTTGATCTCCTTGAACCTAGCTCTTGGGGATCTCCAGTCTGCTAGTTAGAGTTATAGTCATGATGACTTGTTCCAAAAGGATAAATCCGCAAAAAAACATAACTTATTTGAATGTATGAGACTCATTTTCAAGAAGAAATGTCACAAAATCAAATTCAAGAAAGTAGATGTCCTTTCATGTTTCCTACGCCTGTGAATCTCTTTATTAAGTATATTCTCTTTTGATTTTTTCCAAGGTCGTTTAGACCCTTTATTAGACAACTCAAGTCTAGTTTTATATGGATATATGAGTTCAAAGAACTTAGCATTATCTGATTCAATTAATGTATTGTTATGAATATCTGAATGTTTAGACTTACGAATCAAAAATTGACATGCTTTACTATTTGTAGCATATTCAATGAAAACACAGTCCACAATCTTAGGCCCTATTTTGACTCTTTGGGTCGGGGGGAGGGGGATAGAAACTTGAACTTTTGCTAGACACCCCCACACTACAAAAAAATTTGTTACTTCCTTTCTGAACAGACAAAGCTTTTTGTTATTCTCTTTTACTGTAAGGCTAGCTTCTCCATATAAGTTTTGTGGTAAACCTAAACTTATAAGTAAGGCACTCAACATTTTCTTCAAAGTTCACCTTTTTCTTTCTGCAATTCCATTCGATTGAGGTGAGTGTGGGCAATAGTTTGATGGATGATTCCATTTTCCAAGCATATTTCTGCAAAAGGAGATTCATATTTTCCACCTCTATCACTTCTAATTATTTTGATAATTTTATCCAACTGATTTTCAACTTCAGTTTTATATTGCCTAGATGTCTCTATTACTTCATCCTTACTATTCAGCAAATAAACATAACCATATCTAGTGCAATTGTCAATAAAAGTTATGAAATATTTCTCCCATCACGAGATGGTGTTGACTTCATATCACAAATGTCAATGTGAATCAACTCTAAGGGATTAATCCTTTAAAAAAAATTTATAAGAATGCTTAGCATACTTAGATTCAACACAAACTTGACATTTTTATTTATTGTACTCAAAGTTAAGCAAAACTTCTAAGTTGATCAATTTTCTCTACAAGGTTTTGTAATTGATATATCCCAAACGTTCATGTCACAAGCAGCTTGACTCAAGCAAGTAAGAATAAACAAAAATATTGTAATTGAAAAGACCCTCAGTGAGATAATTTTTTCTCACAAATATTTTGCTCTTACTTATTACAATTTTGTCATATACAAACATTGTTTAGAGTCACCACCTGATCAGATGTCCTTTTTAGAAGGACCTTTTTGATAACCTTCAATTTGATTGTTATAGAATTATCCATGAACATAGTCTCACTGGGTTCAATAAAGGCAATATGACCCAAATGCTTCTTTCACAATAAAAACATGAAGATGACTTTTCACAAATATCCAAGTGTCACGACCCAAAACGAGCCGTGAGTGGCACCCACACTTAACCTCCTAAGTGGGCGAACCAAAAAATCCAAATCCCAACATATATCAATAATTTAACTACGAATAACAATAAAATGCGGAAACTCAAAACTTGTTAAAGTATCCAATCAAATCAACCTCTAAAGTCTATTACACATTATCCCTAAAACCTTAAAGTCATCACATCAAGGACATCTGTTCTCAAAATACCAAGTCTAAAAGTATTAAAAACACCAAGATAAATAAATAAGATGGTCTATGCCCGAGGTTTAAGGACATCATGCCATGACTGAGAGAATCCAGCACGAGCTAGAAGGAATAGCTCACCCTGAAATCTGATGCGCTGAAAATTGGTTAGAGCTGAGGGCGAGTCGAAGTCGATGGTACACTTGCTGCACTCCATAAAAGAAAAACAAAGAAAACACAAGTAGGGATCAGTACAAGGAACACGTACTGAGTAGGTATCATCGGCCAACCCAAAATAGAAACTAAT